AAATATGCATATGTGAGGACAGGGAAATGTAATGACACAAAAGATCAGACTAGTACTGTTGATCCAATTATGTAGGATTTGTCATTGCTTTGCTTTGCTTTACTGTCTCTACTTGGACTTGACTGGGGTAATTATATAGGCAATCAGTCAAGTTATTGCATTCTATCTAGCAGATGAACTTCAAGTATGTACTGCTGTTTGGATGTGCAGTATAAGATCATCGTCTTGGGTACTGATACCTGGGCAACAAGATAATGTTGCCCCATCACCCTCCCTGGTTCGCCCCCTCCTCCCTTCCTTCCTTTTGATGCCGAGGCAATGAGATAATGCTTGAGCTATGCAAAAAGCTGTAGCTATGTGGAAAGTAGTTACTTTGTAACAGGGTATGTGAATGAAGAGCTTTTTAGAAATCAGCAAATTTAGCAGAACAAGCTAACTGCAAAAAAGCTACCCACTGACTGTTTGAGCAGACAAGCTTATAGAGCATGTGCAGAGACAGAGGTGAAAAGTTCACCCCCGAGGAAGACTTCTGAGCCTTCATCCAAAACGACCACGAGGAGGCTGATGACCACCTCTTTCAGAAACCACGTATGTGCTACAAGAGCTTACGTAATCATGTAATTAGAAAATGTGTTACAGTGTGAAGGTTAGGAAATATAATGTGCACATTAAGTAGAAAAAGTATAAAAGCTTGTACTGTGCAAAGAACAGAAGAGTGAGTTTGTGGTGGAGCTAGCCCCCTCACTCCTGGCATCGAATAAAAAATACCTGCTCTATAGGCCTTATGCTATGGAGTACAGTTTTCTTGCCTGGTTTTCAGGCATAAGTATGATAATAAGATTCTTTACTGTGAATGTATATGAAGCGTTACATAGTAACATTTTTAGTAACATAGTTACATTAATACAAATAGTATTTGGCTTCCTTTAGCTGAGGGGTATGAAGGTTGCCTCACGCGTGTCTTCATCATGTGTGACCTTTTCAAGAGACACAGTACTCTGTCTCAGGAGCAGCCATCTTACTGCTGTGTTTGTGTTGTGAAACTCAGCTCTTGTATCCTATTGTACGTTTCAGCTTCTGTTTAAGACTCTCACTATCCTGGGAGTTTTGCCACCTCATCAAGAACACTGTACCACATGCTGCATGTGTGTGTATATCCTCTGTCTTATGACACTGGTTATTTAACAGTATGTCTGAGGGACATCATCTCTCATAAGGGGTAATTCTGTCAGATTGCTTGCTTTCTTCAAAAATGATATACCTATGCATTTCCTTTTCATTTGACTTAGCTTTAAGTGAATTGCTTCTACTCAACTGCAAAACAAAATGACCTCTTCCTCCATGTCTTACACTAAAAACTAAGGTACACTGAGGAGTGCAATTTTAAAATTTAGTTTATGAAAGTATAGCTGAAGACTAAGCAATGGTGTTACTTCTGCTTTTCTAACTGTAAGTGCAACTGACAAATATTTCCTTCTGAACTGTCCTGCTTAACTCTTTAATTTCTTAATGCTTTCCTATATCTCTGACTAGAAAACGTGATGTCAGCATACTTAAAATATCAATAATTTGTTTTTCAGTTTTGCATATCTACTTTTTACATGATAAACAGACCAGAGGAATACTTGTACATAGCTCCTATGCTTTCAAATCAATAGTTTTGTTATTGTGGAGGAGATTGTGGAAGGCTCAGAATAGCATAGAAATATTTTCATCCATTGTGAAGCAGTATTCTGTAAAATTACTTAAAGTTTTTAGCAGTGACTGAATATTATAGAGATATTACTTAAGTCATATTTATTTACTTGCGGGCCTGTATTTAAGGCAACCTGTTCACTTGAGCAGAATGTGTCTTTTGTGAGCTGATATATCTGGGTCTGAAAATAGAATTATGTCCCTGTGGTAATAAAGCACTCCAGTCTCTACCTGGTATTTACCTGATTCCTGGTCTAGTTATTTTTACCCTTACTAGAAATAATGCTTGTTTCCTATGGCCTGTCAAGAATAAAAATATGCTCTTGTTCTTGAGCTACAGCACTCCTCTATATGCAATGCCATTGAAAGATCCAGTGTGGTAAGTTTCTTTAATGTGGTGGTTGTTGTTAAGACCACATGTAATGTTCCACACCTCTGTATCCTTGAATACTATAGAAGAACAGTAAAGCTGTCAACTGATTTTACTTTTTACAGCCTTCTGAGAAGAGAAGGACTTGGCGAGGGAGAGGGGAAAAAGAGAACCCCAGTTCTGTTTTAACCAACTCCTCTGAGTGAGAAGCAATATAACATAAAGTTTACTAAATAAGTTTTTAGAGATGTCTTACAGCAAGTCATTCACCTTTTGAGTGCTGAAAGAGCTGAACATTAAGTTGTAGTTTGCATGTAATTTCTTCTCCTTTATGAGGTCTCTAAATATGTTACCAGTGTTGATATTTGATGCTGGTTAAGTAGACTCTTACTTAAAAACCTGCTTTTAGCACTTGCCTTCAAACTAGACTCCACAACTTTTATATGAAATAAATGCTGGTATTTTAAGACTTCCATACTCTAGGTATCTAGTAAGACGAAGACTTTGAGAGAAGGCTCATATCTGTATGTTGAGTTTGTTATAGCATTTGGGTGTGGTAGCCTTTTTTCAGTAATTAGTCAGATGACTTGGGTCAGTGAGGTGTTCTGATATGCAAATGGGAAGCTTTTCATTGTTATCATAGTAAATTGCACTGCTGAATTTCACCACTTAAATGAAAAATGAAATACTGGCTTGAACTATCCCACTAACTTCTGTCTTTTTCAAAGAACAAAACCTGAGTCTGAAATTGCCTGGTTACCTGAATGATGATGGTGTCTTGAATGGAGCAATTGCATGACATCCTGCCTCTGTTCTTAAGTGGAAATGAACCTGATGTTGTTGCTTTCCTGCATTTTTTTAGTGGAGTGTACATGAGTTTGACATGAATCTTGAATTTCCACTCAAAGTATAGAATGCAGGTGGTTTTCATTCTAAGCAGATTATGTAATCTCTTGCCATGTTAAAGGAGCTCCATGATGGTATTTGTGCATTGCTTAAGGCTTGGTGATTTAAGTCATCTGTTTGAAAAAGGAATAAATTTTCATGTTCTTCTTTATCTAGGTGCAGTGTCAGACCATATGTTAGTGTTTTCTCTTGTAGCTTTGCTCACTTAAGGATAGAAGTATTATACCAAACCTTGCTAAATGCAAAGTCATGAGCTTTTGCAAATGACACCAGTTTACACTTTTACTTTTGCAGATAATTAGCAGTATGGGAAAAGCAAGTAATAAACCCCAGTTCTATAGCAGTGTGTGAGGCAAAAGTCTGATCTACCCCTGTGGCAGGAGAACACCAGTGAGAAGACTGGTATACAGATTTTCAGTGTTCTGGCTGGATTGGAATAGTTGTTTTCATTTATTACAAATCCTCACCTATTAGAACATGGAATGGAATTATCATGAAGGTTCAGTAGTGCAAAAGCACCTTTAACTGTTTTTTTTTATTTTTTTTTAGTAAAACGTAGTGTGTCACTGAATACTGTTTCCTTGCACCTCATTTTTCTTTTATTTTGAACTTCATAACCATTCATCAGACACTTCTTCCTCAGTTTCTTGACACTATTCAGACAAGAGCTATTGTGTGATAATGTTTGACTTATTGTCAAACATTGTTGACACATACTGTTCTTTAATTCTGAGGGATGAACCAGAGAAGATGTCAGAAGTAATGGTCCCAATCATAGAACCATTAAAGTTGGAAGCCTCTGAGATCATCATCATTAACCTAGCACCACCACTTTCACTGCCTCACTCAAGTGTTAGGTCTCTGCATGACTTTTGAACACTTCCAGGGATGTTGATTCTACACTTCCCTGGGCAACCTGCTCCAATGCTTGGCTACCCTTTCGGTGAATAATTTTTTCCTAATGTCCAAGCTAACCTCCAGTGTTTCAATTTGAGGCCATTTCCTCTTGCTCTATTGCTTGTTAACTGAGAGAAGAGACTGACTCTCACCTTGCTATAATCTCCTTTGTAGAGGTTGTAGAGAGTAATAGACAATTATTGTTGACTTGGTGAAGAGTTTCCAAATCTGGTTAATTAGGATATAGTTGTTGACAGTTGCTGTAGCTGTTGCCAAGCTGTGCACAGTAGGCAGAGAGGGGAGTCTAAGAGAAGGGTAAGAGTCCACCTCAATAAGTATGTGACTTCACATTCTTGACATTTTCCTGCTTAATCTGTTCTCAACCTCCTCATAAAAATGATACATGGGAACCCTGCAACACTGACTCATCAGTCGCCAATGTGCTGTGCTGCTCTTTGGTTTTGTGTAAGAGCTGTACATCCTAGCACTTGCTGTGTTTGTAAATATGCAGTGGAGAGCAAATGTTGGTTCAGAAACTGCTGTTTTGAGTGATCTATAGATTTTTTTGAATGCTACTATTATTAAATGCTTAGTTCAGTTTCTGCTCGCAAGTTCATGTTCTGCTTGCATTACTCAGAGGCATTACTTGAGACTATTCAACTGTGAGTAATTTGAGTGTTGTAGCTTGATGGATAGTTTTGAACTCTTGAGGAGCTCTGTGTTCTTCTATTGAGTTTGAAATCTCTGGATGATTTGTTGTTGGTGTCCCCACAGCCATCTTAAGAAGAAGCCTCTTGTAGCTGAATTTTGCACAGGTCATCTGTATATGTAGCTATAAAGCATAACTTAGTTATGAAATATAATAAAACACAACTTGTCAAGCTGTGCTTGTTTCACTGTATTTTGATGTTTGTTGGAGGATCAAATGGAAGATTTTTAAAATCTGTATAACTTGCTGTGCATTGTAAACCAGCAAGGTACAACTTGCCAAGAAACTTGCTTCATTTCAAGTGTCAGGATTCAACACTGTTTAATTTGCATGTGATTTTAAATACAAGTAACTATAACTGAGCTTTTTTTTTTTTTTTTTCTGAGCAATTTTGACATGACTGCTTTCCTGTTTGATTTACAGCACTTAAATATCAAGACACTGACAGATGATGTGGTAAGACAACTTAAGTTTTGCTTTGGCTGGGCTAAGCAAATAACCTTACTGCTAATGCAATAAAAATAACCTTACTAATACAAGAAAATATCTTAACTTTGAGGATAATTTAGTTAATTGGCAAAGTCTCACTGAACTGGTAATTAGCTGTAACATAATCAGTACAAGTAGCAAAAATGTATGGATGGCTTTGAAGTATGCTCTAATCACAGCTAAATGAGCCTGACACAGGTAATTGTGCCAATCTACATGCACTATAGTTAAGATATCTGTGATTGCATGTTTAATATCAAAGTTACTTAGGCTGCATGGCTAGCTTAAAATAACATGTTTAACAAAGTAAGATTTGCTTGTGAAACTCATTAATGCTTGTTCAAACCACCTTAAGTATATTCAGTGTCATGTTTAACAGTGTTTATCAAATTTGATCAGAGATGAGGCTCTGTATCTAACCACAAACCAGATTTTCTTCTTGCTCTTGAAGTTACTTATTTCACTGCCTCTACTATTGTTTTGTGGGTAATAATATTTTTTCTTAAAATACGTAATTTTACAAAGTCTTTGAATTTGCCTAGGAAGTAATGTTTTGTCATCACCTAAGATCAGCTGTTATGACTTCAGTGCTATACAGAGTTCTTGCTGAAGTACTTCTGTGTGTAACTGGGAGCTGAAGTGCAGAGAGATTTATGTCTATCAGTACTAGTTTGACTTAAATAATTGTTTCTATTTCTTTAGCAGAATTTCATTGGATGGAAATCGTTATTAAGAAATTTGAGTCTGACTGGCTGATAATACAAGTTTGATTGCATAAACTTGTGTTTATCTTGGAAAGCTAAGGAAATGCTATCAGCTTTCTGAAAGCAAAAGTATTTTCTGGTAACTAGAAAACAAGTTTTGATAGTGCCATATAAGGGTTATAGTTGGGATACACAAGATCTTGCTGTTTGTTTTTGTGAGATACCTTTTTTTTTGTTTTTAAAGAGGCTAGACTGCTGCCTTTTGCACTTGTACTTTACAGAGCTTATTGGACTTGTCCAACCTGTAATTGTAGCCCCATAAAATCGGCAGGTTTATTGTGGATTTTTTGAATAAGGACAAAAAGTCTGTCAGCTCTGTAGTAAACAGACATTTCCCCAACTCCTTAAATTTCTCAGAGCATGAAAAAGACCCCTTCGCAGAGTAATGAAACTTCATTTGCAGGGTAGTACCAAATTGTTCATATGAATATATATTTTTGAAAAGGTAAACTATAGCTATTTAGTAAAAGGCTAACAGTGAAATAAATTACAACACCACAACATTTGAGAACTTTTAAATACATGTAAAGGGAGATACTCTGTTTGCTTGCAACATCATCTTGGAATGAGGGTATGCTTTTAAATGGACACCTTTTATTCCTCTATTTCAGTTTTCTGTTGGTTTACTCTTTCTGTGTGTGATTCTGGGACAAGGACAAAATTTGTAGTAAGAGAAGGTAAAGAAATTGAAGGCTTAAGATGACTTGATTTTGTAGCTTTCAATGAAATAATATATTTCCTTTCTTCTCATGGGCAGCCACTTGCATGTTAACTGCTGCATTATGCAATATTTATATTTCCCATTTCTTACAAATACAGTTGTATGTTGGTGACCAGGAACTTCTTTTGTTTGTAGATTCAGGTATGTTAGCAGCATGCTGAGAATCTAAAATGCAGACTGCTTTTCAATATCTAAATTGGATTATTTGTGAGATGCTGATGAATTGTCTACTTTTAGCGATAAATCCTCATTAAGTTCGAAAACCTTGGTTTTTACACATGTGCTTCTTTTAGCTTGGTTGTTTGCTATCTGCAGAGATGGAAATTGCACTCTTGCTCCACAGAGGAGTGGCAAGCAGGTAACTGAGATATCAAATTATCTCTCTCAATGCTCCACATTCCAACAATCACAGAATCATCAATACTCGAGGATACCTTCAAGATCATGTAGTTCTACTGTCAACATAGCACAACCATAATCACGCCTGAACTATATCAAGTGCCACATCCAGATGCCTCATGAACACTTTCAGAGATGATTACTCCATCATGCTCCCAGGCAACTCATTCCAATGCCTAACCACTCTGCCAGTAATTTTTTTTTTTCCTGATGTCCAATGTGAGCCTCCCCGGGTGCAACTTAGGGCCATTTCCTCTCATCCTTTCACTTGAGATGGTGGAAGAGGCCACCATCTTTCAGGTAGTGGCCTCTTTCTGGTATTTGTACAGAGCAGTGGGATCCCCCTTGAGCCTCTTCTACTCCAACACAAACATCCCCAGCTCCTTCAGCTGCTCCTCATGGGACTTGCTTTCTAGACCCTTCTTTTCACCAGCTGTGCCCTTCTCTGGACACACTCCAGCACCTCAATGCCTTTTTTGTAGTGAGGGGCCCAAAACTGAACACAGGATTTGAAGTGAAGCCTCACCAGAGCGTCACCAGCAGGATGGTCACTGCCCTCGTCCTGCTGGCCACACTATTTCTGATACAGGATGCCATTGGCCTTCTTGGCCACCTGGGCACATGCTGGCTCATGTTCGCCACTGTCAACCAGCACCTCCAGGTCCTTTTCTGCTCGGCCATGTTCCGGCCATTTTGACCCCAGCCTGTAGCTCTGCAAGGGGTTTTGTGTGACCCAGATTCAGCCTGAACTTCAGGCTGCTGTCCTCAGCCCATTGATCCAGCCTGTCCAAATTCCTCTGCAGAGCCTTCCTGCCCTCCAACAGATCAGCACTTGTCACCCAGTGTGGTGTCATCTGCACACTAACTGAGAGAGCACTTAACCCCTTAGTCCAGATCACTGATGAAGACTGGACTGGCCCCGATACTGAGCCTTGGGGAACCCCACTTGTGACCAGCTACCAGCTTGATGTAGCACCATTCACTACCACTCCCTGGATTCAGCTATCCAAACAGTTTTTTACCCAGCAAAGAATGCACCTGTCCAAGCCATGAGCAGCCAGTTTCTCCATGAGAATGCGGTGGGAAATGGTGTGAAATGCCTTAGTGAAGTCTAGGGAGGCACCATCCACAGCCTTTCTCTTATCCACTGAGTAGGTCAAATGGTCACAGAAGGAGATCAGGTTGGTCAAGCAGGACCTGTCTTTCCCAAACCCATGCTGGCTGGGCCTGATGTCCTGATTGTCCTGTACATTCTGTGTACTGACACTCAGGATTATCTGTTCCAAGACTTCCCCTGGTACCTAGGTTAGTTTGACAGGCCTGTGGTTCCTTGGATCATCTTTCCCATTCTTCCTTTAGGTGGGCCTTATATTTGCTAATTTCCAGTCAACTGGAAGTTTTTCAGATAATCAGGACTGCTGGTAAATGTTTGAAAGTGGATTGGTGAGCTCTTTTACCAGCTCCCTCATTATTCCCTGGTACATGCTGTCCAGGCCCGTGGACTTGTGGATGTTCAACTTCCATAGCAGATCACTAGTCATTTCCTTCTGGATTATGGGGGCTTCACTTGGCTTCCCATCCCTAACTTTCATCTCGGGGAGTTGGGTTTCCTGAGCAAAAGGAATGGTATTAAATTTTGGTATTAAAGAGTGAGGTGAAGAAGTCATTAAATACCTCAGCCTTTTTGTCATCCTACACTACCATCTGCAAGCAGCAAAGGATGGAGACTCTCCATAGTTGTACTTTGCTGGCAATGTATTCATTGAAACTTTTGTTATCTGTTACAACAGTGACCAGGTTCCAGTGTGGCTTTGACTCTTCTACTTTTTCTTCTTACATAACATGGCAACACCCTTGTAGTCACCCCAGGTTTTCTGACCCTCCTTCCAGAAGTGATACTCCTCTCCCTCTCCTCGTTTCTTTTTCTCTCCCCTGACCCCTGAGTTTCAGCCTAAAGTTCTCTGTTTAGCCAGGCTGGTCTTTTTCTCCACTGGATTTTTTTATGGCATATGGGGACAGCCTGCTTCTGTATCTTTAAAATTTTCCTTGTTAAAGTATGTTCAGCCTTCCAGGACTTCTTTACCCTTCAGAACTGATTCCCAAAGGACTTTGTCAGTCCATGTCCTAAAAAGGCCAAAATCTGCCCGCCAGAAGCCCAGAGTAGCAGTTCTGCTGGTGCCCATCCTTACTTTATTCAGATTTGAGAACTTTATCAATTTTGTGCTTCCTGTGCCCAAAATGGCCACCATGCACATTATATCACCCACTAGTCCTTCTCTGCTCACAAAGAACAGATGTATTGAGACAGCCCCCTTGGTAGGTTGGGAGAGGATTCACCTGGCATCCCAAGCAGGGACCTACCTCCAATTCTCCCTGTCTCTTAGGTCCCGTCCTGTCTGTTGGGGATAAGGATCTTCCACTTCCTGAGATGCAATTTGCTGGCATGTCTGCCTCAGCATTGGCAGAGAGAGAGAGAAAGACTCAGAAAGGTTAACTAAGCCTCCATATTAACAGAATTTTATTAAAAGGCATCTTATGTAGACAAAAAAGAAAAGCATACTAAAATTCCTTACAGCATCAAATTATACTGATTTTATAGCAACTGCTTTAAAGATTAGAAAGGCTGTATAATTTTCAGTATATAGAGAAATAAGATTCAGAGTGAAATATTGTCTACACATTTAGGATGTGATTGTGCGCAGGTCTAAATTCTATAAATTTAAGACTGGTAAAATAATCTCTGAGATTGAGTTTATTAGGAATAAGAAGTCACTTTATCAAAGGGATTCTTCTGTGTATCTTGGTTTATGCAAGTCTTGCTCTTCTTAAAAGCTCTACTGCTAGCAGTGGAATTTCTCACATACTAAGAAGTTAATCTTGTAGAGCAATTTGACTGTCAAAGAAAGAATATACTTTTTTAATCTTCTGGAGCTTCAAGGAGGAAAAATATGTTAAGAGGTCTTTGACTTAGAGTCATTGGAAGTAACTTCTTTGATCTTTTGAGAAGTATTTCTGCTGGTAAGTGGGTTGCTTTAAGTTCTGAAGATACTGAAATTGTTGCAACCCAATTCATCATGTTGGTT